ACCCATATGAGATATGTGTACTTCATGAGTAAAATGATTCGAGTCTTTCACAAACTTAGTGTTCTAAATCAAGATTTCAATATGCAGTATACAAACAAACCATTTAAATATTTATAAAAGATTACTTAACTTAAAATGATCTGATGAAGATCTTAAAAGAATTATTTACATAAATATAAAGTTTCTTCACACAAAGATAATAACATTACACAGTGTGTACAGAAGATATCCATTGTCATAGCCTATTGCAGATATATCAACCCTGATTCCTGACAAGACTGGGTCAAACAAAAACTGTTAGGAGTGAGTACATGAAGTGTTGCTGTAGGGCTGCACATGTTGAGAGAGCGTAATTACTCTTGTGGAAGCTGACCCTGGAGCAATCACTTGTAGATAGCTGGAGAACCAATTGAACTTTTTCCATCTCATTTGCTCAAAAGCATTTCTGTGTAGGGAAACCCTTCAGCAGTTAGATAATATACTTCTTTATATGCTTGACTCTTCATTTGTGCTGGCCTTCCCACTATAAGCCTGGCTGGTGCTCTGCCGAGTTCCTCCCAGTGCAGCATGTAAATGCTAACTTCTTTCACCAGCATTCCCATTGAAAATATTCAAACATAGTGTTTAGCTGCTCATTGTTTTTTCACACAATTTGTATTACTTCAAGGCTGTGTCCTGGAACTTATCCTTTAGGCATCAGGAAATATGTAATTGGTTACAACTTCTACAAAACTATGTGGCAACTGGTAGGAATAATTGTCTCCTATCTTCAAAATGGCAGCTGAGGCACCTGGGTGTCCTAGTAATAATCCTGCTGGCCATGTGATGGCAGTTCTCTGGGTAAATGGTTGTACTTCACCAGTTCACCTTCACTTGGTGCAAACCTTAAATCTGACTTTCATGCTGCAAGGGCCAATAATAGTTAATTGCAAGGCAATTCATGAAGCTTGAAACCATCATTTCACCATTGCTCTAAAGTCTGTCATCCAAACAGCTATTAAAAACTGTTATGGTCTCAGCAATTTACCTAAAACTGTAAAGCAATTCCCAGTGTGCCATCATTTTTTCCAACTCTACACAAGATGTGCTTACAGCAGAACAAGTGGCAGTTTTCCTCTAAATTATTAATGTCATATTGGCTTTACCTCAGATAATTTCATGACCAGTACCTATGAAGCAAGACCTCAACTACCAGGTTGATGGCCCCGTGTCAGGCAACCAACCTGATGTACAATCCCATCAGAATGAAGGTACGGCCACTCAGCCCAGGTACTCCGTCCCATCAACTCAATCTCAGTATGACACTAACTATTGATGAGTCTGAACCAGTATCAATCACAACTACGATTCTCATAAATTTCCCAACACTTTCTTACATAGTACATTGCGGTTCTGGAATTGTTTCCATGTTTTCAATTGTTAATTGATGACAAATGTCAACTGCGATGGGTGGTCGGAATATGAACCATAAGTATCTCCTGAATTCCCAAGAGCAAGATATCTCTATCTGTGGGCTGCTTCTAGCAACTGTTGTTCATCTGTCCAGGGCTGATCCCTCTTTGCAACCCCCTGGGATCTTACACAGGTACGGACATTACCTCTTCAGCAAAGAAGGCAGGTGGCAGCCATATGCCAGGAAGACAAAGAATAAATACATATGTCTGTAGTGAAAAGTCAGATCCTGCAAAGATGTTTGTGTGGGATACAGGGATCACAAATCATAAATAACGGCGGGATATGATAGGGCAGACGCTCTCCACCCTTCTCATCCCCGTATTTGCTTTGTGCAGCATTGATTTCCTCAAGCTGGGGGCAAATGCAGCACTTTGTGTTGGATGTGTTCTCCAACAGTACAGTGTCATCACAAACACATTTGTCCCTGGCAACGGTTTCTCATCCTTTAACACACACAACATAAGGGAGCCATGAGGAGGGCCCTGTGTCACAACTTTCCTGAAATTACTAGTGCAGTGGCTGTTCTCCAGCAAGGTGGTAAGAACATTACGCATATCCACATATCAGACATAATGCCTAGCCTGACAACTCACTCCAAAAATGTTGATATTTGGAGACACCTTATCACGCCCATGTTGGAACTGAAACCATCAGCATCAGTGGGAGTGGATTTGGGGCAACTTTCTCTCACAACATTGTCACCTGCAAACTATTTTATTACCAACCTCATTTATACAATAATAAATTAGTTTTAGTCACCTTTTTCTCTTCTTTAAGAAAGATATTCACATGCATCGCCAAAGTCAAATCTATATTTTTGGGTGGAGTGACTGTATGCCAGCTTAAGCCAAACCATACCTCTTTAAGTATGATACCTAGTTCTGTGTGGAGTGACTGTGTGCCAGCTTAGACCATACCTCTTTAAGTGTGATACCTAGTTCTGTATGGAGCGACTGTATGCCAGCTTAGACCATATCTCTTTAAGTGTGATACCTAGTTCTGTGACTGTGTGCCAGCTTAGACCACACCTCTTTAAGTGTGATACCTAGTTCTGTGTGGAGCGACTGTATGCCAGCTTAGACCACACCTCTTTAAGTGTGATACCTAGTTCTGTATGGAGTGACTGTATGCCAGCTTAGACCATATCTCTTTAAGTGTGATACCTAGTTCTGTATGGAGTGACTGTGTGCCAGCTTAGACCATACCTCTTTAAGTGTGATACCTAGTTCTGTATGGAGTGACTGTATGCCAGCTTAGACCATACCTCTTTAAGTGTGATACCTAGTTCTGTATGGAGCGACTGTATGCCAGCTTAGACCACACCTCTTTAAGTGTGATACCTAGTTCTGTAAGGAGTGACTGTATGCCAGCTTAGACCACACTTCTTTAAGTGTGATACCTAGTTTTGTGTGGAGGGACTGTATGCCATCTTAGACCACACCTCTTTAAGTGTGATACCTAGTTCTGTGTGGAGTGACTGTATGCCAGCTTAGACCATACCTCTTTAAGTGTGATGCCTAGTTCTGTGTGGAGTGACTTTATGCCAGCTTACACCATACCTCTTAAAGTGTGATACCTAGTTCTGTGTGGTGTGACTGTATGCCAGCTTAGACCACACCTCTTTAAGTGTGATACCTAGTTCTGTAAGGAGTGACTGTATGCCAGCTTAGACAATACCTCTTTAAGTGTGATACCTAGTTCTGTGTGGAGCTACTGTATGCCAGCTTAGACCACACCTCTTTAAGTGTGATACCTAGTTCTGTGTGGAGCGACTGTATGCCAGCTTAGATCACACCTCTTTAAGTGTGATACCTAGTTCTGTAAGGAGTGACTGTATGCCAGCTTAGACAATACCTCTTTAAGTGTGATACCTAGTTCTGTGTGGAGCTACTGTATGCCAGCTTAGACCACACCTCTTTAAGTGTGATACCTAGTTCTGTGTGGAGCGACTGTATGCCAGCTTAGATCACACCTCTTTAAGTGTGATACCTAGTTCTGTGTGGAGTGACTGTATGCCAGCTTAGACCATACCTTTTTAAGTGTGATGCCTAGTTCTGTGGGGAGTGACTTTATGCCAGCTTACACCATACCTCTTAAAGTGTGATACCTAGTTCTGTGTGGTGTGACTGTGTGCCAGCTTAGACCACACCTCTTTAAGTGTGATACCTAGTTCTGTGTGGAGGGACTGTATGCCAGCTTAGACCACACCTCTTTAAGTGTGATACCTAGTTCTGTGTGGAGCAACTGTATGCCAGCTTAGACCATACATCTTTAAGTGTGATACCTAGTTCTGTAAGGAGTGACTGTATGCCAGCTTAGACAATACCTCTTTAAGTGTGATGCCTAGTTCTGTGTGGTGTGACTGTATGCCAGCTTAGACCACACCTCTTTAAGTGTGATACCTAGTTCTGTGTGGAGGGACTGTATGCCAGCTTAGACCACACCTCTTTAAGTGTGATACCTAGTTCTGTGTGGAGCAACTGTATGCCAGCTTAGACCATATCTCTTTAAGTGTGATACCTAGTTCTGTAAGGAGTGACTGTATGCCAGCTTAGACAATACCTCTTTAAGTGTGATACCTTGTTCTGTGTGGAGGGACTGTATGCCAGCTTAGACCACACCTCTTTAAGTGTGACACCTAGTTCTGTGTGGAGCGACTGTATGCCAGCTTAGATCACACCTCTTAAAGTGTGATACCTAGTTCTGTGTGGTGTGACTGTATGCCAGCTTAGACCACACCTCTTTAAGTGTGATTCCTAGTTCGGTGACTGTATGCCAGCTTACACCATACCTCTTTAAGTGTGATACCTAGTTCTGTGTGGAGCGACTTTATGCCAGCTTACACCATACCTCTTTAAGTGTGATACCTAGTTCTGTGTGGAGCGACTTTATGCCAGCTTACACAACACCTCTTTAAGTGTGATACCTAGTTCTGTGGGGAGCGACTGTATGCCAGCTTAGACCACACCTCTTTAAGTGTGATACCTAGTTCTGTGTGGAGCGACTGTATGCCAGCTTAGACCACACCTCTTTAAGTGTGATACCTTGTTCTGTGGGGAGCGACTGTATGCCAGTTTACATCCCACTGACTTCTCTGCACACCAACAATTATGCCATGATATCTTTCAGTAATGATGCAGTTCTATAGGTCTAAAGATTCAAAGAAAAGTGAAACTGTTGACATCCTCAAAAAGATTCTTCGTCAAGCTAATCCTACTTGCAACAATTCCTAAAGTTGGTGGTACGCTGTGAGTATGTTAAATTGACTGCTTTTTCATGCAACTCATATTCATACCTACATACAAAACTCTCACTTTTGGGAAATATATGAAGATTAAAGCTGGTGCTTATTGAGATACACTGTAAACCCCCTGTTAACTTGCAGGAAAGTTGTATCCCAGTTCCAAAGTTAAGGAATTTATCTGGCATTAAACTTTTGAACCTTAACTCTCCAACCCACCCTTCTCTGATGTCATAAACATGCTCAAGAAAACACTTATCACACTTGTTACTTCACCTACAAGATCTGTACACGACTGACTTACCAATAATCTGTTGAGCTGACAGAAGGAGCAGTGTATGTGGCAGGCTCAGGGAAATCGCCGTGGTCCCTGCAACAGTAACAGCACAATTAAACACTAGAACATGTACAAGCCAGTTAAAGATCAAGCCAACATATCACCAGCCATTTCCAGCACCTTCCCCACCTGAACAACCTTTAAATGTAAACAGTGGTCCACTAGCAGCAAGTTTTATACTACATGTTCTGAAGATGAGCAACTGTTAGGCTAACCTATAGTCCCTGAAATAATATACTTAAAAATATAAAGTCAAGTAAAAATCTACACAGGAACCCAAAAGTATCAGATGAATCCTCGTCTCTGAATTTCGGAAGCTGAAAAAGGGATGAGTTATAGGATGATAGAGCTGAGAAGTGGATGAAAATGGAATGGGTTGGTGGTGAATGTTTTATTGAATGTATGATCTGGCGTCTATAGGAGAAATTATTCAATGTGTACACTAAAAATATTATAATTGGGTGAGTGCGTGGTGAAGTACCCAAAGACTAAATGGACATGACAAAACTAATATTTGCAGGGCCTGTCTGGAATGAGTATATTACCAGGGAGTATACTCTTCCGGTTGCAGGTTCAAGGCAATCTGACAATACCCAGGCTGAATGTCCTTTCACTCCCACAAACTGGTAGTAACCCATCTTCCCGAGGCAAGGGAGTTAACACATGCTTTGCAAATCCTGCTATCGACAGAAATCTGCACCACATTTTACAAACCGGATTTCGATTTCGGTGCGCGATTTTGATTGGACTATGCATAGACTCGTTAGCCCAGCCAAAATGTAACTCCATAATACCAGCCTAGTTCGGCAAGGGTGGAAACTGGACTTTTATAGTCAGTTAACTCAATTGCCTCGGGAAGATGGTAGTAGCCTGGGAGAAGCTGCAGACCAGCCACTAAGATGCAAACAAATACTAGCCATAGGAATACCTGTCCTGCAAGTCTGTATGATGAACATGTACACCCGACAGTCTCCATCAGCAGATATATGTTACTGTCACCTGGGTCCCGTTCCACAAAACGATCTTAGCACTACGACAATCGTAAGCCAATGTTAAAGTATAGGAGTTACGATCATCTTAGGACTAAGATTGTTTTGTAGAACGGGGCCCAGACAAAAAGAGGCAACTGAATGGATCAGGTGGTCAGGCCTGGTGACTTGGTTGAGTGTGTCGTTGTACCCCAAATGACATGGATCGATACAATAACAATCACTGGATTGTCTGGTCCAGATCTGATTAGTTACAGGCTGCTGTCATGTAGCTGCAACTATTACTGTCAGAGTGCAGCATTCCAAAACAAACAGCTAGACAGATGGTCAGACGGATGGACATGTTCATCAACACACAAAGCATCAATAGTCTCTTCAAAGAATGTGTGGCATGTCATGTGCCCACTAATGAAACTCTTATATAAGCAGCTATGAAGTTTAGTCACAAATAGACATGACAGATACTCGAAAGTCAGTTTTGAACTTTTGTGGATCTGCATACATTGATTGTGCACTTGACATCTTCTTGGTTTGCTGATGGTATATAACCCATTGGCTTGTAGGCAGGCATGTGACAGGTGTGTGAGCAAGCTGTATCATTGTTCCATCAGGCTGCTATAACCTCCATATGATCCTTTCACATCAGGAGGTGATAGAGGTGCTCCCGAGATGACCTGTGTCAAACATCTTGTGCAGGTCATGTTTCCAGGATCATACTCCCCTACCATAAACTACCTATTTCATTACTTAATTATAACTTTCAGTTAAAGTTCAGTCATGATGGAGTATCCTTGGTGGAAAAATGACAAGTGACACTGCATCAAAGCATAGTCAACTTCATGGCAAATTGAGCAAATGTAAAAGTTAACATAGGTGAAATAAAAGCTGGATGGGTGTGCACACAATGGATCTAATTCTCACTTGCTGCTGACCTGCAAAGAGTTATCTGCCCTGATCAGTCCATAAAGAAACGTGATTGCAACCTACACCTGACTTCTTAACATTGTTTCAGTTCAAAGTGTGTATTAGTTACAATAACATTTCAGGGCTACTACCTTTAACTACCCTGGGGCATCAACTTTACAGATCTCTATCTTTAACACATGAATAGCAAGCAGTAAGGTATCCTAGTTGGGAGACTATCCCACGTTTGTCCAGTGGGGCTGTTTGAGGATATCACAAACTGGCAACAAATGAAAGAGGATGTGAGAGTGACTATACGCATCAAGGTCTACCTCACACCTGTAATGATAATCAATTCCTGGGAATAACCTGACAGCTCTAATCCACAGAGAATTTCAGAATCTTTTTTGATAAAATCTGTTAGAGCCTATGGGAGAAACCCTATAATCTCTTAAAGATAATAGAGTGGTGACTGCATCCTCCATAGAGTGTGTGTATCCACTCAAGGAAAGAAACAGGGGCATCGTTCAGTCCAAATTTCACACATGATAAGGACTTGCACATCGAACCAACAAACTCCTCACACAACAACACCGGTAATCATCTCATGCAGTCTTGAGGGATTTCATGAATTCCTGACAGGGCTTTAGAAGTCAAAAATATATCTTGAGTTGGTGTGAGGTATAAGGTGCATCAAGCTGAAAACAGATGTCCAACTGAGTCAAATTTCAATTCAACATTACCACATGATCAGTGATGAGAGTGAGTGAGTGAGTATGGTTTAATGCCGCTTTTAGCAATATTCCAGCAATATCACGGCGGGGGACACCAGAAATGGGCTTCACATACTGTACCCATGTCGGGAATCGAACCCGGGTCTTCGGTGTGACGAGCGAACGCTTTAACCACTAGGCTACCCGACAGCCCCTTCAGTAATGAGAATAGTTTGGTATCCCTTTTTCCTGAAGCCTCATTAAAGTATAGTCAGATCAACTTCAAAATGAACACAATAAGTGAACCTGATGTGACAAACAGATGACAAAGTATCCTGCACCCACAAATGTAAGGAATGTGGTCCCCTCCACCCCACAAATGTCAGGAATGTGGTCCCCTGCACCCAACAAATGTCAGGAATGTGGTCCCCTGCACCCCACAAATGTCAGGAATGTGGTCCCCTCCACCCCACAAATGTCAGGAATGTGGTCTCCTGCACCCCACAAATGTCAGGAATGTGGTCTCCTGCACCCCACAAATGTCAGGAATGTGGTCTCCTGCACCCCACAAATGTCAGGAATGTGGTCACCTGCACCCCACAAATGTCAGGAATGTGGTCTCCTGCACCCCACAAATGTCAGGAATGTGGTCTCCTGCACCCCACAAATGTCAGGAATGTGGTATCCTGCACCCCACAAATGTCAGGAATGTGGTCACCTGCACCCCACAAATGTCAGGAATGTGGTCTCCTGCACCCCACAAATGTCAGGAATGTGGTATCCTGCACCCCACAAATGTCAGGAATGTGGTCTCCTGCACCCCACAAATGTCAGGAATGTGGTCTCCTGCACCCCACAAATGTCAGGAATGTGGTCACCTGCACCCCACAAATGTCAGGAATGTGGTCTCCTGCACCCCACAAATGTCAGGAATGTGGTATCCTGCACCCCACAAATGTCAGGAATGTGGTCACCTGCACCCCACAAATGTCAGGAATGTGGTCACCTGCACCTCACAAATGTAAGGAATGTGGTCTCCTGCACCCCACAAATGTCAGGAATGTGGTCCCCCCACAAATGTCAGGAATGTGGTCCCCTTCTGGTGCAATTGGAGAAGGAAACAAGAAAGAAATTAGCAAAGCTCACATACCCCTGTTATCCCCGCTGGTCAACAACAAATAGTAAATAGTTTGTTAATTAATGAAATATACCTGTCAGAGGAACTGCCCTTTCCTTTGTTACCCCATGAGGATGCATTATGTTTGAAATGAACACATGTTTTTGCAAATATATTTCAATCTAGTGTGGGATAATCAATACTTAGCACAACATACGTTCTTGATGTTTCTTAATGTGTCCATGGAAACGGCAAAAATTAAAAAATTCAGAATCTTCAAACTAGCAAAAGGCACAAGTACTCATTGTGGTAAATGGGTGTAGCACGTTTGGTGAAGCTAGGGTGCAAAGTTAAAGAAAGATATGGGCCGTACAAAACACCCACCCTAAAAGTTTAAGTTTCTTAATGTTTCCATGGAAACGGCAAAATTAAAAAGTTCAGAATCTTCAAACTAGCAAAAGGCACAAGAACTCATTGTGGTAAATGTGTGTAGCAAGTTTGGTGAAGGTAGGGTGCATGGTTAAAAAGTTATGGGCCGTACAAAAGCTCGGACGGAAGGACGGACAGACGGAACGCTATATACCCCCAATTTACTTCGTAAATTAATTAACTGGCGATAGACAAGGAGGTTCAAATATTTATATGATGCACACAAAATATGTTCACAAACAGCAGGATATTCTCTGATTCTTCAAACAATAAAAATACAAATTATCATCAAAACAAAAACTTCAAACCAATCAATACAATGAATAACCTATATATTTCATGTGTGAAAAGGAAATAGTACTGACTCCATACACACTTTTCAAAGCAGTAGATATCAGCTATTTTGGCACATTGTTGAGCCCAAACCAATCTATGAACAAGCCATTATCCAACAAAGCACTGTCTTAATAGCAATTTCCTTAAAACACAATATAAATTGGCAATTCCATCTTCATTATAAGAAATTAATTGAGCAAACATGAGGCTTGGCCCCAGCAATATGCAGACTGGACAATCTCATGTGAATTGAAAGCTCTTAATCTCCCAGTTAATCTAATCCGACTCCATCAAGTGTAATACACACTGATAATCATCTATATAAATGCTAATTTGCAATCCATAATAATCTGGTTTATATAATTCAATCTGTGAGACACAAACCAACAATTTTGGGCTTATTGCAATGAAGTGCCTCCCTGGAGATGAGCTGTGCCACAAGTGGCCCCTATTACCCTCCCTCCCTCGTGAGTCATAGCCATTGTTACACAGATCATTCCGGACAAATACCACTGCACCCATCTTGCTAACACTCATGCCTTCTCC